GGTTGTAAAGCATTGAAATTTGTACGCCCGTAATCCAGAATTGGAGGTGGTTGTAAAGCATTGAAATTAAGATTGGTTTTAATTAGCATTGGTTGTAAATCGTTGAAATTTGTACACCTGTAAACCAGAATACCATATTGCATCAATGATCCAATATTGATTCATAATTTTGAAAAGAACACTAGATGGCACATAATGCCTAGTGTATGCTACTATTCCACACTGTTTGCGCAATTTTGATCTGACATAGTCTATGTGTACATTAAAATTCAAATTGTGATCTTTAATCACTTCCAAATATTTTCATGACAACTCCGTGGACAAGTTTTTATTTTTGAAAAGATATGGTATTGATAGAAGCGCCTCTTTTGGTTCTTTTAATTGGATGGTTTTTTTCATGTTTAGGGATAGTTTATTTGCTGAGAACCATTGTGCTACTGCATAAAAATTCTAAACTACTGCATAAAACTTGACTTTTCTAAAGAACTGTCAAGGCTCATGATCGTAGTGTCATCGGCGACTAAAAAGCTTTCTGAGTTTCTGCATGCATTTGGTAGATCCTTAACATAAATGAGAAAAAGTAATGGACCTAATATTGAACCTTGGGGTATCCCACTTGTAACCTTTTGATAATAAGAACAAATGCCATTTATTTGAACACATTGCTTTCCTTTTGTTAGATAGCTATTGATCCAATTATAGCAGGTATTGGTTACTCCATAGGATGGAAGCTTTGCAATTAAGATACTTTGATCTATTGTATCAAATGCTTTTTTCAGATCGAGAAAACTGGTAGGGCTGACATTCTGATCAAATTTTTGCTTTTTTAAGTTACCTCTGCATTGGCATCAATTGTGCCGTGCCTTATCATATATCTGAATTGTGTATTATAATCGAATTCAAATTTCTCAATATAGTCATATATTCTATTTAAAAAGTTTTATTGAGGATAGCAGCGCTATAGGCTGATAGTTATTCAATTCAAGTTCAGAACCTTCTTTATGCATGGGTAAAATCTTTGCTTTGGAAAGTTCCGATGGAAAAATAGTTTGGTCAATTGAGTCATCGATGTTTTGTGTTAATGATGGGGGAGGGGGGGTTCTAATGCAATTGAATATTCATTTTTTTTTGTTTTGATTCAACATGGCTGGGTATAAAATTATTGACATTAAAGGTTTGGGAATTCTAAGTTTTCCTTTGGTATATTTAAAATCAGCGTTTCCGCCACATTTGCAAAAAAAGTTGTTAAAATTATCTGCAATTTTTTCCGACGCTTTTTCCAAATTACCATTTTTGTTGTTCATTTGTCTAATTAATAGAATTGCTGTTATTGTGATTTTCTCTAAGTAAATTGAGAAATTGATAAAGTTGCCTTGACTCGCCAATACATGTCATATATTTATTCATAGAGTAGCACCTTTTTGATACCTTGATTTTTTTCTCAACTTTGCTTCTGAATTCAGTATATCTTTGTGTAAAATTATTCGTCCTGTTGTGGCACATACAACGATGGAGTCGATTTGTTTTACGAATTGAATTCAAAATCTTAATTCGTTTTGTTAACCAAGGAGGACACTTTGTTTCCTTTTGACGCCGCACTACCATGAGAGCAAATTTATGAAAGATTATCATTATGATCACATGGAACTTCTGATAAACCTCATTTACTTTCACTATTTCGTTAATTGTTATTTTTTGAAATTCATGGACCAGTACAAATTTGAAATTCTTGATTCGTGTAGATGATTTGAGAAAACTAGTATCTCTTATGTGAGCTGATATATTTTGAATTTGTTTACAGTCGGTTTCGATTGTTATCCTAACTGGAAAATGATCTGTAAATATCTCGTGCGATAGTACTTGTATCTGGCATCCTTGCAACGATTTTACTTAAAAAAAGTGATCCAAGCAAGATTGAGTATTTTTTGATGTTCTTGTTGGTAAGTTGCTTAATATTTCAAATCTATTCGACTGGATTGCATCTGAGTTTGTTGAAGTTGCTCCGTTTAACTTTAATATTTCCACTTACGATAACTGAACATGGATAGGAACTTTTCGCTTCTAGGTGTGTTATTAATTAAGAGAAAGATGTAATGCTTACCTTTTATCCTAAGTTCTAACATTAGAATTTCGTAAATAGATGTATCTAATTTTTGTATAACTTTCACAATATTAACACTTCGAAAAATAACGCCTCCTCCACGGGGAGGGTCGCGGTTTGGAGACATCATCTTTATCCAGGCAAATTTCTGTTACAGCTAAAATGTTTCGGGGCGACTCAAGTCATTGTACAAGCGATTCTAACTCGCGATGTTTTTTAAGAGATCGTGAGTTCACTGGTAGCACATTCATTGTTAGTTTATTTATTATACCTAAATAATCACTAGAAATATGTCTATTTGTTTGCTAATGGAGATCATAACAGAACTGTACATTACTTACTTGGTATTTTACTATTTTAGTTGTCGGCCGCCTTCAAACAGTCCTCTAATTGAAAAAACTCTTGTATCTTCTTTTTTTCCGGTAATAAATGGTTCCCTCTTCCGTCCAAACATTTTATGAATTTGGATCTGTTTTTATCATGTTGAAAAACTTTACTCTTGGTACAGTGAGGTCTTCGAAAACTCCTATGTTCTTATGCATTTCACTATCTTTAAATTTCTTTTTATTTTTCAGCAGCTCAATTCTCAAAGATCTCTGGAAAATCTTACAAAAATGGGTCTGGTGCCATGATTGTGAGCAGGTAGTCGGTGCTCAATTGAAATATCCACATCACTGATTATCGTTCTCACTTACCCGCCAATTCTATCACTTTTCTGCTGTTGTTTCACTTGGTTAAGAAATTTGACTATTATTCTAGTTACTTTTTACCGCTTCAGTAGTCCGATCATCCTCAGGTTTTCTCTTCTGTTATACGACTCAAGTAACTCATTTTCCGAACGATTTTTCAGAATTATTTGACTTTTGCCGTAGTCCATATAAGATTTCATTTCATTCGTTAGCTATGTCTTCACTCCAGATACTGCTGCAGCAATGATTTTCTGGATTGTCACTTTCAGAGTTGATTTTGTTTCTTCGACTAGTTGAGGAGTAATGGCCTTAAGAGATGTAGCAACCGCTCTCTGAATCATATCTGAGAAGTCATCCCCTTCCTAAATACTTGCCAGCGGACTTTGATTTAGTTTACTTGTTCGTCTCATTTTTTCCCTGTTGGTGTCTGATCTTGATATCTTAAATCAGGTGTTGTTTTTAATCTTTCTTGCATTTTCATCATCACTTTCTTCTCTCGTCATATCTTTACTTTCGATGGACATCTTTGTGGTTAATTTGCATACACTCGATTCGATTGATGAGATCACTTATAGAGCCTAAAAAGGCACTGACAGTGACTTCTCCAAATTCGAGCAAGTTACAGGGACAGAAATAGACCTTTGGAGCTTAAAAAGCACCGGCGATTTGAAGTTCTAGTTTGTACTAGATCCAGAACGACAGAAGCCAGTACACTCGATGACTTCCAAATGGCCCGCACTATCTACTGCAAGATCGATTTTTTTTCGCAGTATTTTCTTCATTAAGCTCTTAATACCGCGTAACGCAAATTCGTTAAGATGAACGTTGTCTTTCTTCAGGTGTCCTTTCGGTGAGTATATGAAATGAGATAATCCTCTGAATTTCCAAACTGCTTTTTTGACCTTTGGTATATCGTCCACTTTTTTTGCTCTGCTAAAGTTGTTACTTCCCAGAGGAATACCAAAAATTTACACTTCCTTCGCACGCGTTAGTAAATGATTCGCTAATTCCAAAAGTTGATTTGCTATTTCTTCAGTGGAGGCTGTTTATGGCTTGTCGTTGTCAAAATGATCGTTTCCCCCAAATGAGAGTGCTATTATTTCGTATCGATAAGTGGGTGGAACAAAATTGTAAGCGTGTTGAATAATCCCTCCGGGTAGCGAAAGAACGTTGAAGTTAGGGAAAAATAACTTCTTTGCCTGCGAATCTGCAATCATCAGAAATTTTGGGGAGACCGTTTGAATATGTGGAACCTCATTCATTCAAGGTTTTTGTTCTAAAATCTCCGGTGAGAGCCCCCATTCAAGATCTATCTATCAAAACCATATCTTTTTAACAGGTCCATCACAACAATTAGGCTAATTGCTACCATAGTTCCTAACGAGCTCGATTACGGTAAGCTATTTCAGCGATCGATATGTTGCAATTACTTGTGAAGAAACAACTGAACAAGAAATTACGTCAAAATCTTCTTGAAAGTTTTTAATTTAATTAATTCAGTTTTTTGTTGAAAGTTAATTGCCCCATCATAAAGTCATTAACTAAACGGGACAGTGTAAGGGTGTCAATTGAGTCCTAAAACACAGTCATAGTCGTCATACATAAGCACCAAATAGTCATGTTATAACAAGGGTATCCGGTTGCTGTGAATGTACCGCATATTCTCCCAATTACACAGATTCAACAAGATAGTTTCTAAAAAAGGAAGAAATAAAAAATAAATCAAAAAATTTCAAGCACTTTTTTTTTAAAATTCGGGTTCTTTTTTTTCAGACCATTTTTTCGTGACACGAGGAGAAGGGCTTATAATCATACCATATGTGACCCCCTGTGAGATTTTCTCGAAACATTCAAAATTGTGTGAAAAAAAAACGACGCGAAGCCAAAGTTCCTTCCCCCTCATCGAGAGTGGTGGAAAAATAGTGATTTTATCTGTTAGTGTCGCTTCTGCTATAAATTTACTGGTAATTTAAGAGTAAAATTGAGTGGAGAGGAAACTGTTTATGTTATAAGTGGAACTAATTCGCATGATGAAAAGCTTAATTATATTCGGCCATTTGAAAGTACTGCCAAAAAATGGTAGACATTGGCGACTGACAAACAGAAACGAAACGAACTCTTGCCAGTTGTAGTTTTAATTTAACAAATCCCCCCCAATGCTGGTAAGAGGCTAGTTGTATGTTTGATTGTTTGTTTGTTTGTTTGTGTAGAAGGGGTCAGTGATTCCGCTGAGTGTGAAGTTGGGGGACAGGGTGCTACTGCCGGAGTTCGGGGGCACCAAGGTCCAGTTGGAAGATGAGGGGGGCAGAGAGTACCACCTGTTCAGAGACACCGAGATCCTGGCCACCTTTCACCCCACAGAAGCAGATGACTCATAAGAGGCGAGGGGAGGGGGACACAAATAAAAGAGAAGAGGAGAGATGAAACGGAAACAACACTATAGTGAAAAACATCATCATCATCATCACTGCATTTTGCTCAGAGAGAACAATCAAAATAGGGAGACATGCAAACGAGCAAATGAAGGATATAACTGGACTGAATTGAAAAGAGCAGCAGCTGAGCTGACAATTGTTCAAAACTACTACATAGACTAAAACATTTAAACTGCTGACCAGTATTGATTTATAACCAATTGAGATGTAAGGAACATGTGCTTGCACTTGTACTTAATTACACGGGGCCTAGGAAGTTAGACGATAAGCAAATTAGACGGATGCTACAAAAACGAAATTGATTACAGATCTGGCATTTTAGACGAAAAAAACTATGAAAAGGAAAGGGCCAACGAAATTTTTTCTTAAGACTCAAGTTTCATAAATACAAAAAGAACGTAAAATGTCAATGCCTATCAAAACAATTAGTTTAAATGAACATAAAATGTCATATACGATATTTACAGGAGAGTTTTGAACTGAATAAATTATGCATGATTGACTGGTTAAATTTTTGGCCACCGAAATTTAACTGTTGTCTGCAAATAATCTTAATCTTTCTCATTTTCGTCTATTTTCTCACAATTGCACTTTTGCAAAATGGTCTAATTTCATTTCAAGAACCTCCGTCTAATTTGCTTATCGTCTAAATTCTCAACCCCCATTTACACAGCTGATGTGAAAACTACTAATGTTTGTTCATTATGAACCAATTGTTTTATGGCCATGAAATGTACCTTTTTTACGTCCAAATCATGAGCACAATCCTCATTCGGGAGCTTGTTTCGTTTCTTATGCTGCAGTATCTCAACTATTTGTACTCCCGATATTTCTCGTGTCATTTAATCAGAGTGGCGATATTGATGATTTGGTGTTATCTAAATCAGCCTACATGTAAACGTTAGACATTTCTTAGCTGCAGTTTTATGATAATCTGAATTGCAACCAGTATATCTTTGATCCCTGTCCCTTTCTCTCTCTCTCTCTCTCTCTCTCTCTCTCTCTTGCTCTTAAGTTGTCTTCCTTTTCTGATTGCAGTTTGTACCTCTTTTGAAATGAATCTCCAGCTGAAATTGAAATACTCAAGACAATTCATTTTTTGCTTTGCTCTTAAAATTCTGCTTCTGCACAACTAGACATTGGCAGAAGTGAATGTATTCAGGGTTGCAAAAACAAGCCAAGAATAGAGTGAAGATAGCTTTGAAAGCATCACCAAACTAGACATTGGCAGAAGTGAATGTATTCAGGTTTGCAAAAACAAGCCAAGAATAGAGTGAAGGTAGCTTCGAAAGCATCACCAAACTAGACATTGGCAGAAGTGATTGTACTCTTGATGAAACAATTTTGGAGTAAAATCTGCATTTGTATAAAGTATAGATAGAGTCAACAATTTGATAAATGAAATGATAATTATCTAATCTTTGCAAAATTTGATCAAGCAATTATCCGATTGATACTAAGTGAACTTTGCAAATTTCCACTGGGCAGAATCATGAATGGTTAGATACACAGTAGTTTTGGGTGAGAATGAAATTTTCAAAAAAAAATTTCTGAGACAGATAAAAAGAGATTTTGCATTGTAGTCCGAATAAAAAGTGGGATATGCTTGACACATAGCAGATGCCATCACCGATTACTTGTTGAAAATGATTTTTATCTACATGGAATTGCTTACAGAGTAGTTCCATCACCTACGCATTGTCCATATTTGGATCACCATCTACTCTTATTCCATAAAAGGAAAAAATACCTTATTTGGAATGTACAGTGAGTCATCAACATTTCCTAATTTCTATATATTTACAAATATCATTATTTTGAAATATCTACTGCTGATCAGTTGACTCTGAGTCTCAAATCAAAAATGAATTCACGAAAAGATTTTTGTCCCAACTATATTGAATTTGCTAAGAACCACAAAAGAATTGGAAGATTTTCTTGGTCCCAAAAACCCTACAACGGAAAAATTTACCTCGAACCTTGCTTCCAATTGCTAAAGAAAAATGAATCGGGACAAATCGAAAAAACCCAGCAAGTCTATCTTGGTGAAAAAGAAGGGGAAAGGATATCAGCAATACGGAATACTGTTATTCACGATGCTCAAAACCTTGACTTCGTTCCTGTATTGGAACCCTATTTTGACAAAGACTCAACCATGGAGCAGGAACTTTCGAACTGTCATACGGTGTATGACGTAGCAACATACAAGAAGAGAAGGGTGTGTGTCACAATCAAGAAGTACAGTGTGAACAAGCCACTCTCCATTCAGATTCGACTCTTCAACGCAAAGGAGAACGAAGTCTTGAAGCAAGTTGCCTATGTTCAACTACTCTTTGAACAAATTCAAAGAACTCGCCAAATTCTTGGGAGATTTTATGATTGTTGAGAACTGTTATGTTCAATAATGTTGTTGACTGATGTTATTATAGTCATTAAATTCAAATATTCCTTCTTCTTGAATCATTTTTCAAAATTTCTTTGAGCTGAACAGTATGAGTTGGAACATTGGTTTTCCAGAAATCTTGTTTAAAAGCTTCAAATTAAATTGGGACTTTTTCATATCGTCTTACTAGAAAAATCCCAGAAATTTTCACTAACAGTTTTGGAATTTCAAAAATTACCAAACTTGCAAGATTTGGATACAGAATCACAAATTTCTCAATTTGAGTGGACTTTGCATAATGGAAGACCAAAAGTTTTTCTAAGTTATCGTTCAGATATTTAAAAAAAAATAGATATTATAGAGTATCGTAGAAAAGGAAACACTTGGAAAAACAATCAGAAATTTGAGTTGGAAAAAAAGAGTATGATAAACTGGTTGATTTTATCCCCTCGGTTTTGTCTTATGTCGAAACATTCAAAAAAACTTGTATCCTTATTGACAAATGCACTGTAGAAAATGAACGTTCAGAAACTGAATGAAATTCTCAGAAATTTTGATTTGATTAAGCAAGACTTTTCATCAAATACAAAAAGAAAAATTACTTTCTTTGTACCTGTATTGTTTTGGATCCAAACATAAATTTGAAAGAAAAGGACCAAAAATTTTCTTTTGTATTCCTGATTGGATACTGAAATTCCTTAATGGATTATTTTTTTGCAAATTCAAAAATTTTAAGACTTCATGCATTTTTACATGATGCAGCTGGATCTGTAAAGTCTGCTACTTAAAAAGGACCGGGTAATTTTTATGTTTTACCTAGATTTCCAAGTTCTTGTTCCCTTGGTCACGTGACTGGGTTGTTCTCTAAGTTTTTGCTTCATCAGTATATGCATTGTTCGATTGTTAGTCATTTTAGCCAAAAACTTTAACGAAAATAGTTAACATCATGAACCTAGTTCTTTTGGATATTGAGTGTATTGAAAACAAAATAGTGAAAGAGTTAGGAGTTTATAAAAATGGACAAACTGTGGGATATTCCTCTCTTTCTCCCAAAAAGTTCAAAGCTACATATCAGTCTGCTTGCTGTACGAAGCATCATCATGAAATCAATTGGAACAGTGGCCATGAAAAACATACCGATCTTGAAAAAATATTGAAAAAATTTGAAAGCTCCAGAAACGGAGTTTTTTGCAAAAGGTTATGAAAAATGTAAAATTCTGTCAGAAATTTTGAAAACAAAGGTTACAAACTTGGATGACTACGCATGCCCAAAAATTCAGAAATTGATTTTCAAAGATGAAGAACATGGTTGGAGATGTAGCAGCTACCCATTTCATCATGCAAATACTCTTCACTGTGCAGAAAGTGAAGAATTTGCATACAGAACATGTACTCAATTTTTTTTTCTAAAAAACTGTAAAAAATCTAAATATTTTTGTATTATCGTGTTTTTGAAATTTAAATTTTAATCAATATCAGTTTTTTCATTTCAAGTTGAGATGGGTGATGAATGTGACTGATAAAGCAATTAAAGTGAGGAAGTTTTGTTTTTGATGAGGAGAATCATGAGCGAAAATCATGGAAGTTTTTTGGACGTATGTGTAATAGATCTCTTTTAGTTTTTATGTGCCAAGTTTTTTTCATAGTTTTAATACTAGCATGTGCAATCTTTCGAATCATTTTATCCACAACATGTGAAGAAACAACAGTTTAGGTAGCAATTTTATCAAGTACAATCGGTTATATTTTACCTTCTCCAAAGCTATGAACAAAATAATTTCTACCAAAGAACGAGTTTTTATTTCGCTAGTTGGACCGAGTGGATCTGGAAAATTGAATTTTTTTTTGATTGGTTAAAAATTGGTACATTTCAACCAAAATTTGACAAACATTTTTGTTTTTATCAACTTTATCAACCTTTTTATGGACAAATGCAAAGAAAACTTGTTTCATCAAAGCAAAATGGGAAGAGACGTTGAGTTACAAAATACACAAATAGTCTTTTTCAAGTCACCGAGAGATGTTTTACCAATCAATCCCTAAAGTCAACAACTAGGTCTAGGATCACAATTGAAAGAGTGGTATCAAGATGCAACATCTACTCCTTATGGTCTTTTACTCATTGTTTCAACTCCAAAAACACTTGATTTGCTAAGATATTGCACAAACAGTGGTTAACTTCAATCAAACTTTTATCTACCAGCAGGAACAGAAACAAAGTTTTTGGACAATGAGCATACAATACGTCTCTATACTCCCAATATTTCAATCGTTTTCCCAAAAACTTCAAAAACAATTCATTCTCCATTGTCCAAAAAGTTTCATTCAATTCCTCAGCGAATATCTAGTAAACTTGCTACGAGGCAAGCTAAAGGATCTTCGAAAGGTAGACGTAGTAAAATATCGAAGAGAAATATCAGAACTCACACGAAGAAGAACTTCACTGCATAAAAGGAGAAGTTTTTAAGCTCGCCAAAAGGCTTACAAATAATATCTGTTATCACTCCTTTTGTCATTAAACGATTGACATAGTATGGATCAGTTGGTTCTAATTCCTTACTCAATTTATCAATCACAAAGTACACTTCCAAAAAAAATTGGAACAAAAGCAAGAAGAAGAAGAGGTTCTACCAAAAGATTTTGATTCTATTTACAGTGCAGTAAAGGCAAAGTTGAAAATGAGTAACAATAAGCACCTTATTGATTCAAATTTGAATTCTCCTAGAATTAGACTAAGTCAGTCAGAAAATATCATATTAGATAATCGAGACACAAAATAATCAATTGTAGACTTTGTGTGTGCACTAAAGCGAAAAAATACCGACTTTCCCGATATTTACTTCACCATTTTGGAAACAACTCAAATTCGACCTAAGCTTGTTATCAACAAGAATGCCAAAGTGAAAGACAGAGGAACTTGGATCTTTTTCAAAATCTGAAAAGGTAATTCTGAACAGATTGTTTTCTAAGGGTGGAGCTGCGTACGGTTCTGTTCGAAACTTGAGTAAAGCAAGCGGATTGTCAAAAAAGTAAGTAGAATATTTTTTACAAACCAAGAAATCGTATACAAAATTTGGTCACCCAATCAGACGTTTCCAAAGGCTTCAAGTTTTTTCGAAACATATCAATGAAATTTGGTGTATAGATTTGGCATTTGTGGACAAACTAGCGAGTCAAAACAATGGGGTCAAGTATTTATTGGTTGCTGTTGTTGTTTTTCGCGATTTGTCAGAGTTCAAACAATAAAAACTAAATACGCCAAAGACACTTTGAAAGCTTTCAAAAACAGGATTTCTCGAAAACACTCCTGATAAGCTTTGGGTTGATAAAGGACTAGAATATGGGGTAATTTTCAAAAAAACTTGCAAGGAAAACAAAACGTTGAAGTTTACTCGACAATGAGTGAAACAAATGCTGCATTTGCAGAGAGAGCCATTCAATAATTAAAACACATTATTTACCGCTACATAGAAGATCATGGTGAAAAATTCATTCACAATTTGCCGAAATTTGTGTCTAGAATGAATTGTCGCATCAATAGATCTATTAAGAAATCATCTAGAGATGTCAAGAAAACTGATTTCCTCTCAATTCTCTACAATAAACCTCTAACAAGGTATAAAAAACTAAAATTCGAAGTTGGAGACAGTGAGAATTTCAAAGAGTGGTATTCCTTTCCGAAAATGATACAAACCACAATTTACAGATAAAGTTTTCAAAATTT